ACAGGAGAGATGTGATCTCTTTTTCTAGTTCCTGTCAGTACTCGTGCTGCAGCGTTCTGAATTAATTGGAGCGTTTTAATGGACTTATTGGGGCAACCTGATAATAAAGAGTTGCAGTAATCCAGCCTTGAAGTAACAAATGCATGGATTAGTTTTTCTGCATCTGTCTGTGATAGGATGTGTCTAATTTTTCTAATATTACGTAAATGAAAGAAGGCAGTCCTAGAGGTCTGCTTTATGTGGGAGTTAAATGACAAATCCTGATCAAAGATAACTCCAAGATTCCTGACAGTGGTGCTAGAGGCCAAGTTAATGCCATCTAGAGTGACTATATCTTTAGACAATGAGTCTCTAAGGTTTTTGCCTGTCTGTCTGTCTGTCTGTCTCTGTGCCTGTCTGTCTGCCTGCCTGTCTGCCTGTCTCTCTGCCTGTCTGTCTGTCTGCAGGTCTCAGGTCCAGTCTTCTTCAGCAGGTGTGTATCAGAGAAGTTGCTGCAGACTCACGTCAGTCCTCCTCTGGACGGCTGCACCTACCTGGGCCTGGACTCCGGAGCTCCGCCCCTCCAGGTACTCTGGTTTGACCTCTGAACTTTGACCGCTGACCGTTGTGAGTCTGCTCGTTGATGAGTCGCCGTTTGTGTTCTTCGTCGGTCAGGTGTCTTTGTTCCTGGACGTGCTGAAGTGTCTCTGCTCGGATCTGACCCGGGATCAGTTTGTGAGCGAGGACAGAGCCGGCTGCAGTTCTGCTGTGGGACCACAGGGGGCGTCGGTGCGGAGCGGCAGGGCGGAGCTGTGGAGGATCCTGAGGGGGAGTCCGCTCACAGTGGGTGGGTGCTGTCCGTCCGTCCGTCCCGCCAGCGGTACCGGTAGCTGCTAACAGCTATTGATCCGTCCACAGGAAGTGTCATTGATTACGGCTCGATCCCCGCAGCGGATAAAAAGTGATTAACACGTAAATATAAAGGTGGACATTATTAATGAACTTCCTCTCTCGTGCCGACAGCGTACGTCCCCGGCGGTCGCTATGACTACCTGACTCTGTCCGGGAAGCAGCACGTGGAGCGTCTGAGCCGTGATTGGACAGACAGGAACACTCTGTCTCACATCCAGGTGACACTTCCTGTTCCTCGCCACCGTCACTAAAATGTCTCCCCGCTGTGTCTCTGGCGCCAACCGGCTTCCTGTTTCCCCTCAGAGAGCGGGCGCGGTGAGCGACGGAGGTCGAGTCATCAACAGCGTCCTGGAGGGAGACGTTGCCGTGGCAACCGGAGCGGTGGTGACACACTGCCACCTACAGGTGAGGAGAGGCAGCTTCAGCTACTCTACAACCGACCACTGCTGTCAATTCACCCCTGCTGTGACCTCTGACCTCTCTCCGCCAGGGTCCTCTGGACGTCCCGTCAGGTTGTTTACTGTCGGGTCTCGAGTCGGTGACGTCACCGCTGGAGCTGGCCAAGGACATCATCATCCAGGGACACCGCATCGAGCTGGGGGAGCTGAAGCTGAAGGTGTTCACTGTGACGGGAGCGCGGGACGAGCTGGAGGTTCAGACACCTGCTCACTGTTCTTCCTCTGATCATCTGCCTTCAGCTGTGTGATTAAAGCTCCTCCTCTTCCTCAGGTCTCCTCTGATGACAGCAGCGCCTCCTTCCTCAACCAGAGATGGAGCGTCTTCTTCAGCAGGACAGGAATCCAGTAGGACTCTGCTCCTCCTCTTCCTCCTGCTCCTCCTCTTCTTCAACATTTTAAACTTTTATATTCTGACTTTATGTGTTAATGAGTTCATTTAATTATTTCACATTCCTCCTCTTCCTCCTCTTCCTCCTGCTCCCCCTCCTCCTCCTCTTCCTCCTCCTCTTCCTCCTCCTCCTCCTCTTCCTCCCCCGCTCAGGCCGGAGGAGTTGTGGGTCAGAGGAGAACGCCGCTCCCTCCTGGAGGCTCGTCTCTTCCCGGTCCTCCAGCCCAGAGGGGGCGCTGTGGGTCTGGAGGGAGGCGTGGGCTGGCTGCTGGGTGGGGGCGGGGGCGGCGGCCTGCAGAGGTGGCGGGAGGCGTGGAGGCTCTCTCTGAAGGAGGTGATGTCGCTCAGCCACCAGGAGGCGGAGCTGCAGTGGAGGGAGGAGCTACTGTTCCTGGCGGGGAGGAGGAGAGTGGTCGACGCTCTGAGGAGTCGCACCGACGTCTGCCTGCTGCCTTGCTTCAGGGCGGCGGTGCTGGGGGGCCAGCAGGGGGCGCTGCTGGAGACCCTGGACAGCAGTGAGTACGACAGGCGGGGGCAGTTATTGTTCATTGGCTGATATATTGATCTGTGATTGATTGATTTTCACTTTCAGTCGCAGCAGGAAGCAGCGAGCAGGGGGCGGAGTCAGGGGCGGAGCTGGGCGTGGCCGCTCGCTGCCTCTCCTGTATTGCTGACGTGTTGGTGTGCATGGCGGGGGGGAGGGGAGGGCTGAGGAGCGGGCCGGCCGCTAACGAGGCCTGGAGGTCCGCCCACTTCCTGCTGGAGGAGGGTAACCTGAGGGGCGGAGTCTACGCGCTGGCTGCTCAGAGAGATCATTGGCTCAGCAGGTGAGCGGCGCTCTCTGTTTCCTGTCCTGGTGTTTGGTGGATGCTGACCGTGTGACTGCCCCCTACAGGCCGGACCTGCTGGTGCGGGCCGCACGCCACTACGAGGGCGCCGGCCAGGTGCTTCTACGACAGGCTGTGATGTCATCGCAGAGGTTCATCTCCATTGGCCAGGGAGAGGCCCCGCCCCTCGAAGAGTGGCAGGAAGTGGAGTGTCCGGCCAGATTGGACCTGGCAGGTGAGCGTGCTGAAAGTCAGCGGGATCCAAAATGGCGCCTTTAAGTGCAGTTTAACCTTTTGTCTTCAGGTTGAAGGTCACGTGACTGTTTGTGTTTCAGGTGGTTGGAGCGACACCCCGCCCATCGCCTTCGAGCACGGCGGCTCCGTGACCAACGTCGCAGTGAAGGTTGATGGGAAGCGTCCGATTGGCGCCAGGGCCCGTCGCATCAGAGAGCCCCGCCTCCTGCTGGTCAGCTACAGCGGGGGGCGGGACAACGGCGTTTCCACGGAGACGGTGTGCGACAGCCTCGACGACCTGAGGGATTACTGTCAGCCTCACGCACCTGGTAGGAGTGTGTGTGTGTGTGTGTGTGTGTGTACGTACCTGTGTGTGTGTGTGTGTGTGTGTGTGTGTGTGTGTGTGTTTACCTGTGTGTGTGTGTGTGTGTGTGTGTGTGTGTGTATGTGTTTACCTGTGTGTGTGTGTGTGTGTGTGTGTGTGTGTGTGTGTATGTGTGTGTGTGTGTGTGTGTGTGTGTGTGTGTGTGTGTGTGTGTGTTTACCTCTGTGTGTGTGTGTGTGTTTACCTGTGTGTGTGTGTGTGTGTGTGTACCTGTACCTGTGTGTGTGTGTGTGTGTGTTTACCTGTGTGTGTGTGTGTATGTGTTTACCTGTGTGTGTGTGTGTGTGTGTGTGTGTTTACCTCTGTGTGTGTGTGTGTGTTTACCTGTGTGTGTGTGTGTGTGTGTGTGTGTTTACCTGTGTGTGTGTGTGTGTGTGTGTGTTACAGGAGCGCTGCTGAAGGCGGTGTGTGTGTGCAGCGGCCTGGTGTCTCTCTCCTCCCAGCATCCTCTGGGGGATCAGCTGATGCAGCGGTGGGGAGGAGGGGTGGAGCTCCACAGCTGGTCGGTGCTGCCCACTGGATCTGGACTGGGTGAGGAACCAACAACAGTAAACCTTCACTGACGGGATTCAAACTCCGGCTGATCGGGCTCCAGTGTCTAACTGTGTCTGGTTCTGTTGTGTTTCACTGAGGTTGATCAGTTGTTGTCCTGCAGGTACCAGCAGTATCCTGGCGGGGGCGCTGTTGGCCGCGGTCTACAGGTGTACCGGTCGAACCTACAACACCGACTCCCTCATCCACGCCGTCCTCTACCTGGAACAGATTCTCACCACAGGTAACTCTGTTGTTCCCGCTCTCTCACCGTGCTGCTGCCCCTCTCTCTCTGACGGGACTGTTGTTCTCCAGGTGGTGGCTGGCAGGATCAGGTGGGAGGTCTGGTGGGCGGAGTCAAGGTGGGTCGTTCCAGAGCGTCTCTGCCCCTGCAGGTAGAAGTGGAACGTCTCCGTCCTCCAGAGGACTTCCTGGTTTCTCTGGAGCGGCACCTCCTGCTGGTGTACACCGGCAAAACCCGCCTGGCTCGCAACCTGCTGCAGGTCTGTCCTCCTGTCTGTCTGTCTGTCTGTCCGTCCTCCTGTCTGTCCATCCTCCCATCTGTCCGTCCTCCCGTCTGTCTGTCTGTCCGTCCTCCCGTCTGTCCGTCCTCCTGTCTGTCTGTCTGTCTGTCCTCCCGTCTGTCTGTCCCCACTGTCCGTCCTCCTGTCTGTCTGTCTGTCTTCCCGTCTGTCTGTCTGTCCCCCCCATCTGTCCGTCCTCCCGTCTGTCTGTCTGTCCGTCCTCCCGTCTGTCTGTCCTCCTGTCTGTCTGTCTGTCTGTCTGTCCTCCCGTCTGTCCGTCCTCCCGTCTGTCTGTCTGTCTGTAATTAGAAATGTAATTCTTGTTTAAATCGGTGGTTTAAAGGTTTTCTAGCTCATGGGTTCGTGCTGTTTAACTGGCTGTCGGTGGTTGTGTCTGTAGGATGTGGTTCGTAGCTGGTACAGCCGTCTGCCCTCGATGGTCCAGAACGCCCAGCAGCTGGTGGCCAACGCCGAGCAATGTGCCGCAGCCTGTTCAGACGGTGAAAGCACAAACACACTTTATATAGAAGAAGCAGATCCACAGTTAGACACTGGTGGAGGAAGAATTCAGATCTGTAACTGGTTAATATGGATGCCTCTATATGAGCTACATAAACCATCAGAGAGTGTAACTATTAGTTATTCTTAATGTCTGCCACCGGGTCGATTCCCCTTGAAATCAATGAAACAAGGCGGTAGAAACACTTGTGCTTTTGTCCACAGGGGGCGCCAGAATCAACAGAAATGAAAGAAGTAAGGGATCTGAATACGTCTTCCCCCACTGGGTCTACTGATACATTTATTCTGTTCTCATTAATGTCCCACAGGAGGAAGAGGGATCAATAAAGTAGAAACATATTTAATACCCTTAAACCTCAACCTGTCATTTCCCAGAGTCCCTTTAGTCAAAGCCGAGACAGCGATCACAAACAGTTCTAAATCAAACCAATCAATCAATCAACGATGAAACCTGCCCCCCCCCAGGTTCTCTGTCCCGACTGGGTCTGTGTCTGGACCGCTCGTGGCAGCAGAAGAAGCTGATGGCTCCCGGTTGCGAGCCGGCCTCGGTGCGGACCATGATGGAGGCCCTGAGGCCGCTGGTCCTGGGTCAGAGCCTGGCCGGGGCTGGAGGCGGGGGCTTCCTCTACCTGCTGACCCGGGAGCCTGGACAGCGGCAGGCGGTGCTGCAGGTCCTCAACAACACCGCGGTAAGAGACTGATCAATAAATAATTGATAATTGATGGTGATAGTTAATTAATTGATGATAACTGGTTTCTTTCAGGGTCTGGGAGACTTCAGTGTTCACTCTGTGGAGCTGGACCTGGACGGGATTACAGTCCTACCACCGTCCTGAGGACACACATTGTCTCTCATACTAACGACTCACTGATCAAACTGGGATCAATATGAATCACAATCAATCTATCAATACGGCCTCGTTGTTCCAACTTCCAAAAACTGTGATAAAATATTCTATTTCTCCAGTTTGAAAACAACTGTTCTAAACCCCTAACCCCTAAACCCTAACCCCTAAACCCAAACCCCTAAACCCCTAACCCCTAAACCCCCTAACCCCTAAACCCCTAACCCCTAACCCCTAAACCCCAAACCCAAACCCCAAACCCCAACCCCAAACCCCAACCCAAACCCCTAACCCCTAACCCCTAAACCCAAACCCCTAAACCCAACCCCTAAACCCCCCTAAACCCAAACCCTAACCCAAAACCCCAAAACCCTCTAAACCCTAACATAACAATATACTTTATAATAATAATAATAATAATAATAATAATAATAATCATTGTAAGCGCAGAGGTCCAGAGTGTAACCGGTTGAGGGTTTATGGTGAGTGCTGATCAATAACAGTTTAGTGTTTGTGTGTTAATATTAATCTGAAAGACCTTTTTGTTTTTTATGAAACTATTTTTGATAATGAAGTTTATGATCGAGAGTATTGATCAGTATTCACTTCACAAACTGACTGAATAAATAATCTGTAAATGACAAACAACTCACAGTTTGGGCTGTTTTTGAGTCTGAAGGTAACAGGATGCATTGTGGGTTTATGAGTGCCTTCTCTCTCCGCTTCCCTACAGTGCCAACAGAGTCCACCACAGAGTCCAACACAGAGTCCACCACAGAGTCCAACACAGAGTCCAACACAGAGTCCACAACACAGAGTCCAACACAGAGTCCACAACACAGAGTCCACAACACAGAGTCCACAACACAGAGTCCACAACACAGAGTCCAACACAGAGTCCACAACACAGAGTCCACAACACAGAGTCCACAACACAGAGTCCAACACAGAGTCCAACACAGAGTCCACAACACAGAGTCCAACACAGAGTCCAACACAGAGTCCACAACACAGAGTCCAACACAGAGTCCACAACACAGAGTCCACACCACAGAGTCCACAACACAGAGTCCACAACACAGAGTCCAACACAGAGTCCACAACACAGAGTCCACAACACAGAGTCCAACACAGAGTCCAACACAGAGTCCAAACACAGAGTCCAACACAGAGTCCACAACACAGAGTCCAACACAGAGTCCAACACAGAGTCCAACACAGAGTCCACAACACAGAGTCCACAACACAGAGTCCAACACAGAGTCCAACACAGAGTCCACAACACAGAGTCCACAACACAGAGTCCACAACACAGAGTCCACAACACAGAGTCCACAACACAGAGTCCACCACAGAGTCCAACACAGAGTCCACAACACAGAGTCCACAACACAGAGTCCACAACACAGAGTCCAACACAGAGTCCACAACACAGAGTCCACAACACAGAGTCCAACACAGAGTCCACAACACAGAGTCCAACACAGAGTCCACAACACAGAGTCCACAACACAGAGTCCACAACACAGAGTCCACAACACAGAGTCCAACACAGAGTCCACAACACAGAGTCCACAACACAGAGTCCAACACAGAGTCCACAACACAGAGTCCAACACAGAGTCCACAACACAGAGTCCACAACACAGAGTCCAACACAGAGTCCACAACACAGAGTCCACAACACAGAGTCCAACACAGAGTCCAACACAGAGTCCACAACACAGAGTCCAACACAGAGTCCACAACACAGAGTCCAACACAGAGTCCAACACAGAGTCCAACACAGAGTCCAACACAGAGTCCACAACACAGAGTCCAACACAGAGTCCACAACACAGAGTCCACCACAGAGTCCACAACACAGAGTCCACAACACAGAGTCCACAACACAGAGTCCAACACAGAGTCCACAACACAGAGTCCAACACAGAGTCCACAACACAGAGTCCACACACAGAGTCCAAACACAGAGTCCACCACAGAGTCCACAACACAGAGTCCAACACACACAGAGTCCACAACACAGAGTCCACAACACAGAGTCCAACACAGAGTCCAAAGTCAGAGCTAGCATTAATGCTAAGCTAGTGGAACATATTGTCTGGTTGTGCTGTTAGCTGGATAACGTTAGCTTGTTTGCTAACCACTGGTGGCGCTGTTAGCTACAGTTTAATAAACGTTACGGAGAGAAAAATGAAATAAAATGTCACAAAGACAAAGTTTATTTTCATTAGTGGACGTAAAAAAGGAACAATCAACAGTTTGAAGGTAACATCTGTATTCTCAGCACAATAATGAGAAATATCTGTCACAGGTTGGAATAATTACAAAAACTATAAAAGTAAATAATGTGACACAAAGAAATGTTTTTAACTTCCAGCCAACAGAAATATATTGATTTCTGTCAATCTACTAATTGATTAATTAGTTCAGGGTTAATAAATCAAACATGATGTGACATGGATCTGTAACATCCAATCAGCGATCAATAGTGTGTAAACAGTCCGCTGACGGAGCTCTGATGAGGTTTCAGTCTTTATTTCCCAGCGACCACAGACAGCTGGTCTCTGATGCGTCCCAGTCCGTCCAGTATGGTGTCCAGAGACTCCCTGCTCAGCTCCACCGTCACCGCGGAAACCGACTCACCGCCAGCGGACGGGTCCTCCATCTGGGAACACACACACACACACACACACACACACACACACACACACGATTATAACACGTCATCACGGGGCTGTCACATGACCACGACGTCAGCGGTTCTGGTTCCGGACCCACCTTGAGCTGGACCAGGCAGGTCGGGACGGACATCCGACTGACTGAGTCTGAACCGGTCACCATGTCGACCCTCCAGTCCAACTCCTTCAGCTGGGGGAGAGAGACTGCACACACACACACACACACACACACACACACATAGATTAGACACACACACACACACACACATAGAGTTAGACACACACACACACAGATTGGGGATAAGATCTGGTTCTGGTTCTGGACTCACTCTGATTACTGAGAGCTTCTGTCCTCCATGTTGGACTGAAAAACATCAGAGAGACACGTGATGTCATTATTATGTCATTACAGCCTGTAGTTACATCACAGTCAGCCGACCAATGAGAATCAGCTTCATTAATTTTATTAGTCATTAATTACAGCAAAATTAGTGTTTAATTGACCCTTCCTAAGCCCCGCCCCTGTCGCTCTGTGTGGTCCAATGAGAGTGGAGCCTGTGGCCCGAGGCTCCGGTGGTTCTGACCTGTTCTCCAGCAGGATCTTGGTGATCAGGTTCTTCAGGCTGGAGTGGAAGGATTCTGGGAAGAGGGCGAGGATCTGATCCGGAGAGCTGAGGTTGTAGAAGAGGACGTGATGAGACAGGACGTGGAGAGAGTGGACGAGCTGCAGGGAAAACAACAACAACAACAACAACAACTTTATTTGTTTATCACTGATGTAAACAAAGAGTGTGTGTCTGTGTGTGATTATATTTCTGTTCTAGGAGGATCAATACATTGATTCTGATCAATAATAAATCATTAATATTGATCTACTGACAGTGTGTGTGTGTGTGTGTTACAGTGTGTGTGTGTGTGTTTACAGTGTGTGTCATGTGTGTGTTACTTATATTTCTGTTTTACGGTGTGATCAATACATGTGATTCTGTATCAATAATAAATCATTAATATGTGATCTACTGTGTTACAGTGTGTGTGTGTGTGTCAGTGTGTGTTTGTGTGTCAGTGTGTTTGTGTGTCAGTGTGTGTGTGTTACAGTGTGTGTGTGTGTTACAGTGTGTGTGTTACAGTGTGTGTGTGTGTGTTACAGTGTGTGTGTGTGTTACAGTGTGTGTGTGTTACAGTGTGTGTGTGTGTTACAGTGTGTGTGTTACAGTGTGTGTGTGTTACAGTGTGTGTGTTAAGTGTGTTACAGTGTGTGTGTGTGTGTTACAGTGTGTGTGTTACAGTGTGTTACAGTGTGTGTGTGTGTTACAGTGTGTGTGTGTTACAGTGTGTGTGTGTTACAGTGTGTGTGTGTGTTACAGTGTGTGTGTGTGTTACAGTGTGTGTGTGTTACAGTGTGTGTGTGTGTTACAGTGTGTGTGTGTGTTACAGTGTGTGTGTATGTTACAGTGTGTGTGTGTGTTACCTGAGCAGCCTGTCCTGTAGAGATACTGAATGTAGTCGCTGTGCTCTCAGCCAGCCGGTGACTCGTTCCTCTGTGACTCTGAACGCAGACGTCTCTCACTGCGTCTTTAGAGGGAGCCTCAGGAGACACAGACAGCTCGGAGTAAACAACAACAACAAACACACAGACGGCTCGGAGTAAACAACAACAACAACAAACACACAGACGGCTCGGAGTAAACAACAACAACAACAACAAACACACAGACAGCTCGGAGTAAACAACAACAAACACACAGACGGCTCGGAGTAAACAACAACAACAACAACAAACACACAGACGGCTCAGAGTAAACAACAACAACAAACACAGACGGCTCAGGGTTTCTATAAAGTTAATGAGATAACTGTAGAAACTATTTTATACTTTTACTGTTTTACATCTCAGAGCCAAATATTAAAGTAGTGAACTGCAACATACACATTAATGCAGCAGGAATATTCACACAGAAACATTATAACATAATATAATATAATATAATATAATATAACATAATATAATATAATATAATATAATACAATATAATATAATATAATATAATATAATATAATATAATATAATATAATACAATAACATAATATAATATAACATAATATAATATAATATAATATAATATAATATAATATAATATAACATAATATAATATAATATAATATAATATCATATAATATAATATAATACAATATAATATAACATAACATAATATAATATAACATAACATAATATTATATAATATAATATAATATAACATAACATAATATTATATAATATAATAAAATATAATATAACATAATATAATATAATATAATATAATATAATATAACATAATATAATATAACATAATATAATATAATATAATATAATATAATATAATATAATATAATAAAGGAGTTTTACTACTTTAATAAAGGATGTGAGGGAAACACGGAAGCTAGCAGCTAGCTAAGCTAACTGATTTGTAGTATTTCAGCTTCTTTAATCGAACTACAAGAATAAAAACTACAACCAGAGTTTCCGTTAGAGTCTGAGGGTTTGAAAGTGTCGATAATCCGGATCAATACCTTCAGGAGGAGCTGTAAGTTGCTGAAATGTTCGCTGGAGACAGCAGCAGCCATGTTGGCATGTGACGTCAGGTGATGGTCATGTGACACGCGGCGCTACTGCTCATGGGAAATGGAGTACACAGAAATATCGTGTGCGAAAGTTAAAACCAGGTGAAACTTTATTGTACAACAAAAACAGGAACATAATACAATTAAAGTAAAGAAATAATAAAATAAAATAATGATGCAAATCGATGTTAGTGTCATTTAACACCAACAACATTAAAATACTATAAAATATTATAAAATATAATAAATATGAAAGGAATACAGCAGTAAAAGAGTTTACTAGCATAGAACACATGCAGATAATAAAAATAAACAATTATATAAAATATATAAAATATAAACACTTTGGTGTAAAAAATGTACAAAATGAACATGGGGAAAATACGAAATGGGTAATAATTAATATGTATAACAGCTCATTTCATAAATCCGATATTTCTACCAACACCCGAAAGCAGCAGCCTACAAATAAACAGATTTAATAAAATAATATATAATAAATAATAATAAACTAAAATTATACATTTTATGAAAATAAAACACTGTTAACAGCAGATTATATAGGATGAAACATTAATCCCAATAAAGAGTCATTTATCATTAGTAAAATAAAAACTACAAAACTCCTCTATAAAATATGAATAATAATATAATTTTACTCTAATGATAATAACAATAAACCCTTCATACTAATATGCTAATCAATTATAGGTTATGAAAAGAAATTAATACGTTATAATAATTATAACATAAATTGTGTAAAAATTAACATATATAGTAAATATAGATAAATCATTATATTATACTATATTAAATTATGTAAAATATGATATAATGTGTTTTAGTTAGATTCAAATAAATATAAATTAATAATTTAATATTAGTTAAAATAAAATAAGCCTATGTAAGTCTATGATAATGATAAATATTATTAAACCTTCACAATAGTTCATTGATTATAAACCCGGCGGGTCCCGGTGGTTCCGGCCGGCGGGGCGGTGCAGTCAGTGTCTGCGGGGGACGGAGCACCTCAGACGGGATGGAGGCTGTCGGTACGCGGCGGTAGCTCCGCGGATCTCCGGCCGGCCGCTGTGAGTCCTCTCCCCGCTCAGGATGTCTGTGTCCGGGATGAAGAAGCAGCTCCACAAAGCCAGCCAGGTAAACCGGGACGACCCGGGTCGAACCGGACTGATGCTTTATACCGTCTGTGGTTTTACTGCGACACAGGGCCTGCTGCACACACCAGTATCGATCCATCACACCACTATTGATCTATCAGTTCAATATCGATCCATCAGATCAGAAAGACTCAATGATCAACAACAACAACGATTTATGTTTACACCGGAAATAATTACATCTGATATCTGATGTTAGAATGAGACTGTAGACCACTGCACTACTACTGCTAATACTGTTATTATTATTATTATTAGTTAGTATTATTAGTGTTAGTATTATTAGTGTTAGTATTATTAGTACGGACCACTGACAGAACTACCAACAGCTGGAATATACCACCATACTGATGTTATCTACTACAACTGCAACTGTTGGTGTTACCTCCACTACTACTGACATTGATAAGATCATACAGGTACTGAAGGTACTGAAGGTAACTACTATGGAGGAAGTAATCCTTTAGTAACAGTGTACAAATACTTTACTGTAGAAGATCTCAAACTGTACTGAAGTTAAAGTACTCAGATTATCCCTCACACAGTTTTATGTTTTTAAATGTGTTATAATATTTGATTATTATTAATAATAATGAATTGGAGATGGAGCTAATTTCTCTACTTTATTGACTGTTGAGTAGTTGTAGTGTAAATGTAGTCTAATAGTAAAAGTGCTGCACTCCAAATGTAACTTAAGTCTGATTCTATTAACTTACTAAATATATGTTGTGAAGAAACAAGTTTTGTCTCTGAGATGTGGTTGAGTAGAAGTATAAAGTACAAACACCTCAAATTACACTTTAGGTGCAGTAATAGAGTATAAATGTACCTAAATGTGAGAGAGGCTGGAGGAATATAAAGTATGAAATCAGTTTAATGTTGATGATGGAATATTGTGGTTTTTATCTCTGGTTTTATTTTGGGTTTTCCACTTCATACTCACTCACTGCTGTAATCGAGTACTTGTGTAACCACTCGCTGCTGTAATCGAGTACTTGTGTAACCTCTCCTACTCTAATATAATTAATATAACTTCTGTTTGTGCAGCTGCTGAACGAGAGGCTGATGGGAGCTGAGGGGACGAAGATGGACGAAGACTTCCTGAAGATGGAGAAGGTAAAACTGAAAGCTGCTGTCAGGTTGGAATCTGCTCTGAACTGATGATACAAACTGTCTGTCTGTCTGTCTGTCTGTCTGTCTGTCTGTCTGTCTGTCTGTCAGAGCGTTGCAGTCATCCACTCTCTGCTGGTCGAGCTGCTGTCCAGAACTACAGAGTTCCTCCAGCCGAACCCAGGTACTGACAGTGAACACATCACTGCTGATTGTTCTGCTACAGGGAACAGGATGTGAATGTTGTGTCTTCTCAGCCGACAGAGCCAAACTGAGCATGCTCAACACGATGTCCAGGATTCGAGGACAGGGGAAGTCGGTGGGCTACCCGCAGACAGAGGGCATGCTGGGAGACTGTATGTTGCACTACGGCCAGGAGCTCGGAGCTGCTTCTGAATTTGGTACGATGTCAGTTTCCACAGGCCCGGTCCGGATAAGAGCTGTGTTTCCATGGTAACCACCAGGACCATGTGACATTAAACACGTGGCGAACAATGAGAAAGGTTTTAATCTGTAAATGTTTGTCACATTTCTGGTTGGACCTTTAACTTTTGTTCTTTATCTTAACATTTAAATATTTAAATACAAAATATAGTAAAGTCCATCTGGAGATCTGTCATTGTTGTTTTTATAGAGGAATAAATTCAACTATTTAACAAGTTCAGCAATCTGCGCACAGAATGTACAAAATGTTTATTTTTGACTCTTGCTTTTCCTTTTTTCCTGTTTGTTCATCCTGCCCTTGTCCTCTGGTTCCTCTCCTGGTCCTCTGGTTCCTCTCCTGGTTCCTTTCCTGGTTCCTCTCCTGGTTCCTCTCCTGGTTCCTCTCCTGGTTCCTTTCCTGGTTCCTCTCCTGGTTCCTCTCCTGGTTCCTCTCCTGGTTCTTTGGTTCCTCTCCTGGTCCCTCTGGTTCCTCTCCTGGTTCCTCTCCTGGTCCTCTGGTTCCTCTCCTGGTTCCTCTGCTGGTTCCTCTCCTGGTTCCTCTCCTGGTTCCTCTGGTTCCTCTCCTGGTCCCTCTGGTTCCTCTCCTGGTTCCTTTCCTGGTTCCTCTCCTGGTTCCTCTCCTGGTTCCTCTCCTGGTCCTCTGGTTCCTCTCCTGGTTCCTCTGGTTCCTCTCCTGGTCCTCTGGTTCCTCTCCTGGTTCCTCTCCTGGTTCCTCTCCTGGTCCTCTGGTTCCTCTCCTGGTTCCTCTGGTTCCTCTCCTGGTTCCTCTCCTGGTTCCTCTCCTGGTTCTCTGGTTCCTCCCCTGGTCCCTCTGGTTCCTCTCCTGGTTCCTCTCCTGGTCCTCTGGTTCCTCTCCTGGTTCCTCTCCTGGTTCCTCTGGTTCCTCTCCTGGTCCTCTGGTTCCTCTCCTGGTTCCTCTCCTGGTTCCTCTCCTGGTCCTCTGGTTCCTCTCCTGGTTCCTCTGGTTCCTCTCCTGGTCCTCTGGTTCCTCTCCTGGTTCTTCCTCCGGTGGTTCAGGCGGCGCTCTGTCTGGTGTGGGTGAAGCTCTGCAGCAGGTTGCTCAGGCCAGGGACACTCTGGACATCAACGTCAAACACAGCTTCATCGACCCCCTGCAGGACCTCCATAACACGGAGCTGAAGGAGATCAGGGTGAGAGGCTCAACACAAGCTCATGTTCATCAGAAACACAAAACTGACATTAATCAAGTCCAACTTTAACAGAAACTGCTCAGTAACGGCGTCTGTGTCTCTGATCTCTGCTCCGATTGGTTCCTCAGTACCAGCTGAAGAAGCTGAACGGTCGTCGGCTGGACTTCGACTACAAGAGGAGACGAAGAGGGAAAGTCCCGGCGGAGGAGGTCCGACAGGCCTGGGACAAGTTCATCACGTCCAAAGAGCTGGCAGAGAGGAGCATGTTCATCCTGCTGCAGAACGACGTGAGTGTGACGATGGAAACAACGAGAACCGAAACTGATCCAGTGGGGTCGGGTCAGATCTCTGCAGAGTGTGTTTATCTCCTCTGTCTTTATACGTCCTCCAGTTTCTGTCCAACAGGGACAGGAAGTCTTGTTTCAGGTGTTTTCAGGTGTTCTTAACGGTATTTTAGAGTTTCCTGATAATCAATAACAGTATTTGATGACTCTAGCTAATCTATGTCAATCATTAGTTAAACTCCCTCAGTGCTGGACTCTGTGTGTATTGTTGTTGTTCTGTGTAGATATTTAAAGGTAAATATGATGGAGGAATAATTAACAGATTAATATATGAAGGATTATTTCTCTCATGCTCCATTAACGGATCCACACTGTCGTCCTCGTGCAGGTGGATCAGCTCAGTCGTCTGGCTGCTCTGGTCGCCGCGCTGTTGGACTTTCACCGCAACACCCACCGCATCCTGCTGGGTCTCCATGGCAACCTGCAGGCAAGGTGAGACCGCGTTCAGTCACATCATCAAACCCCTCCAGCAGTCTGTCCGTTCGTTATTAGTACAGAGTTTATGAAGGGAATCAAACCGGTGGCAGATCCTCCGCTTAGCACGAGTCTGTTCAATTAATCTATCGGATTATAGAAGTGAACATTTTGGTTTGATGTTGGCTATAAAAAAGTCAGGAAGTCACCACAGAGAGGTGCTGATGTTAGCATGTAGCTCAAAGCACAGCTGTGTCTAAATGTAGCCTCAGTCTACTTTTAATAATAGTTCATACAGTTTTCTGTATGTGTTGGAGAACAGGCTGACGGCTGCCAGCAACAGACCAGAGCGACGGTTCAGACCCAAAAGGATCCGGATCAGGAGTGAACACAACGGCAGCATCGGGTTTTACCACCAGCCGGCAGTCACATCTACAGTTTCCTCAGGTTCCTCTGGTTTCAGATATCATCTCACTCTCACATTGCTCTGGAATTAAATATATAATTGTGTCATTTTCTGTTATATCTGTGCAACAGGAGAGCAGTTCACAGCGTTACCGTCCAGACCCGGCAGTCCCATCTCCTGTTACGGTAAGAAAACATCCTCAAACAAACAGTGACAGGTGGCACAGAGGTTTATTCTTTACAGGAAGTCTTCAAACAGGATGTTCAGACAGGGTTAGCATTAGCACCTTAGAGGGCACTGTTGGTATTTAATCATTAGAACAGTTTGAACCTTCTAACAGTAAATATAACAATGACTCTCTCTCTCTCTCTTGTCTGTCTAGGTGTCTCTCGCCCAGCCGACAGTAAGCTGGTCCTGGATCAGCCCTGTTGCCGGGCGCTGTACTCCTTCCACCCGAACCACGAGGGCGAACTGGACTTCAGCGAAGGCGACGTCATCATCCTAACCAATCAGGTCGACGCCAACTGGTACGAGGGCACGCTCGGTGGCCGGTCGGGACTGTTCCCCGTCAGCTACGTGGATGTGCTGGTGCCTCTGCCGTTACCATGACGACAAAACATCCACGGACTCCACGCCAAACACAGTACACGCCGGTCTGAGTGTGCTTTCCATGATATGCAACTTTTTTCGGCTTCTTATGTGCACTTTTTCACACTCACAGGAAAGGAAGGCCATAGTTTCTACTGGAGAGCACTTTAGTTCCTGATCTCATGTTAGACGTTAAAACACCAGCTGCTACAGAGCTCAGTCCGTAAAACAAGTGTGTGTTTCCCTTTAAGACTTTTAGCTTCTTTTCCAGCACAAAACTGCTCTTGCCTTTCACGTTTCTATTTCTAAACTCAAACACATACAGCCACGTCAGTCTGAGAAGTTGAATAAGATAGATCGACTGTTTTAGAGCGCCATCAGGGTGCAACCACTAGAATGTTTCATGATAAATATCAGTGTAAGTTTACTTTATATTTAAGGCTACCAGTGTCGTGGGTGGTACTGTGTGTTTTGTGCTGACAGGACAGTAATGATCAGTGTCGTTCACTCTGCATGTACTTAAAGCAAACTTATAGTATTGTCGGCACTTTATCTGAAGCTTTATGAGATTTTTATGACTTAAAGGTACAATATGTAATTTCTGCCACTAGGGGGTCGCTCACATCAAAACAATAATAAAAGAGGGAGTGGTGAAGTAGTGTGGGATCATGGGAGTCTTTTGCAGAAATTTTAGCCACCTAAAAGAAAAATAGTTTAAGTGTACTCTATATTTCTCTCTTCAAATCCACCAGACTCCATTGACAAAAACAGCAATTTACCTCTCTGAACAGGAGTTTCTGTTTCTACATTGAGGAGAATCTATTGTCAGAATATAATTCTGACATTGTGTGTTTGTTACCTTAGATTGAGACGTTTTTATCTACAGAGGGAGCGGGTCCTCTTCTGGTGGAGTCCACCATGTTTCTACAGTAGCCCAGAACGGACAAACCAAACACTGACTCTAGATTGAGCCTTATGAGTTTCACAGCCACCGTAGTTTCTCCTCCACACTTGGATGGGAAGGTAAAGTGAGGGAGTTGCAGTCTGCAACTACACCGCTGGATGTCACTAAATCCTACACACCGGACCTTTAACCCGCTGATTCAGATCGAGGCAGCGATAGAAAGTCTCGTATCCTTCGAGGTAACATGGCTGTTTTTTTCAATGGAGTCTGGTGGATTTGAAGAAAGCGATATAAGATAGATAGATAGGACTGTGACGGCAAAGTAAAGTGGAGAAAAAGTTCTAAATATAGGGACAGTTAAACTGATATTAATTTTCTGAGGTGGGCTTTTATTTATGAGGCTGAAATCTGAATTTCTGCTGCGCTCGTCCACAGCTGTGACCGCTGACTCTGCACAACCCCCCCTTCAATAAACCTGAACTAATCTTTTAAAGGGACTGCTAACACACATTTGTATTTTGAAGTAATCTAATGATTACATTACAAACCAACTGACACACGCCTGCTGTAGTCTGCAGCTAATGCTAGTTAGCAGACTAACAAAGAAACCTTTACAGAACAAATAGCACATTGAAAGACCTTTATAGTGTTTCTGCACGCTTCACTAGATTAACTGTCAAAGAATCAGATCTGTGGTAGATTACTGTAACACATCACTGTTGCACTTAAAGGAGCTGTTCAACATTTGGGAATCTGTTGAAGATATAACTTTCATTTGTGTGTGTCTGTATGATCAGTATCAGTAATAAAGTACTCACACACACACACAGATGAAACAGAAACAATGGTCTCATCAACAAACTATAGGATAGTTAATATAGACTGTATAAAGTAAATATTAATGTAATGGCTTTAAATTAGCATCTGATTTTACATGGTAAATAAATTCACATGAATGTAGTGAAACTGTGTGATTATATATTAATTATATTTAGTTTTCTGTAATTGGAGACAGAAAGACAGCAGGAAAACATTCAGGGCAACAGTTGGAGAACAAGCTTTATTTTTATAATGTTGTCAAGTATTTTAAAAATTATTTTATTAAATTATTTCAGCATTGACCAAAAACCTCAAAGTGGTCGAGGTATTAAAGAAATATGAATCCTGTTACGTTACAGCCTGAGTCAGTGTTTATCAGCAGAGAGTGAACGGGTTGTAGTGTAGCTTTGTCCCTCTGCTGTCTGTGGACTGATCTCTATGTGTCTCTATGTAGGATGAGGGTCAAAGGTTGTGACCTTTATGCTCCCGAGTGCCTTCTCTCTCCGCTTCCCTACAGTGCCAACAGTGGGCAACACTAGCTAACATTAGTTTATAAATGGAGTCTGCTAACGACTACAAACGACCAACACCCACCACAACACAGAGTCCACAACACAGAGTCTACAACACAACACAGAGTCCACAACACAGAGTCCACAACACAGAGTCCACAACACAGAGTCCACAACACAGAGTCCAACACAGAGTCCAACACAGAGTCCACAACACAGAGTCCAACACAGAGTCCACAACACAGAGTCCACAACACAGAGTCCAACACAGAGTCCAACACAGAGTCCACAACACAGAGTCCAACACCGAGTCCACAACACCGAGTCCACAACACCGAGTCCACAACACAGAGTCCAACACAGAGTCCAACACAGAGTCCACAACACAGAGTCCAACACAGAGTTCACAACACAGAGTCCACAACACAGAGTCCACAACACAGAGTCCAAACAGAGTCCAAACAAGAGTCCAACACAAGTCCACAACACAGAGTCCCAACACAGAGTCCAACAGAGTCCACAACACCGAGTCCACAACACCAGCCACAACACAAGTCCACAACACAGAGTCCAACACAGAGTCCAACACAGAGTCCACAACACAGAGTCCACAACACAGAGTCCAACACAGAGTCCAACACAGAGTCCACAACACAGAGTCCAACACAGAGTCCACAACACAGAGTCCACAACACAGAGTCCAACACAGAGTCCACAACACAGAGTCCAACACAGAGTCCAACACAGAGTCCAACACAGAGTCCACAACACAAGTCCAACACAGAGTCCACAACACAGAGTCCAACACAGAGTCCACAACACAGAGTCCAACACAGAGTTCACAACACAGAGTCCACAACACAGAGTCCACAACACAGAGTCCAACACAGAGTCCACAACACAGAGTCCAACACAGAGTCCACAACACAGAGTCCACAACACAGAGTCCAACACAGAGTCCACAACACCGAGTCCACAACACCAGTCCACAACACAGAGTCCACAACACAGAGTCCAACACAGAGTCCAACACAGAGTCCACAACACCGAGCCACAACACAGAGTCCAACACAGAGTCCAACACAGAGTCCACAACACAAGTCCAACACAGAGTCACAACACAGAGTCCACAACACAGAGTCCACAACACAGAGTCCAACACAGAGTCCACAACACAAGTCCAACACAGAGTCCACAACACAGAGTCCACAACACAGAGTCCAACACAAGTCCACAACACCGAGTCCACAACACCAGTCCACAACACAGAGTCCACAACACAGACCAACACAGTCCAACACAGAGTCCACACACAGAGTCCACAACACAGAGTCCAACACAGAGTCCAACACAGAGTCCAACACAGAGTCCAACACAGAGTCCAACACAGAGTCCACAACACAGAGTCCACAACACAGAGTCCAACACAGAGTCCACAACACAGAGTCCACAACACAGAGTCCAACACAGAGTCCAACACAGAGTCCACAACACAGAGTCCACAACACAGAGTCCAACACAGAGTCCACAACACAGAGTCCAACACAGAGTCCAACACAGAGTCCACAACACAGAGTCCAAAGTCAAAGCTAACATTAATGCTAAGCTAGTGGAATATATTGTCTGATTGGGCTTTTAGCTGAACAACTTTAGCTTGCTTGCTAACTAGCTAGCTAACAAAGCAAAATACTGTCAGCTAGCTTCATCCAGGGTTTGATAACATTATTCAGTGTGGTTGGGTTGCAGCTGGCTGGCTAACATTAATGCTAGCAAAATCAAGATCCATGAGGCTAACTTGTGCCAACAATAAATGATGTAGCGGTACAAAGCTAACGATAGCTTCCTACTAGCTGAGAGTGATGCGAGGCAGGGGCCTCCAGCTAGCTAACTGTAGCTAAGCTAACTGGGGTTGTCCAGCTGTGTCTTGGTGTTGCATTGTGGGTCTGGTGTTGGTTGCTTCGTGGTGTTGGATGGCTGATTTGTAAACAGCGAGCTAGTTATTAGCATGGAGCTAACGGTCCAAATAAAATATAGGAACATTGCAGATAGAAACGTTATTATAAATATGATTGTCAGTTATTTTACACCGAGAGCCTGGCCTCTCTCTATTAAGTCCCATTGTACCGAATACTGGTTGCAGTTCCAGCAGAGGCGGGTTTTTCCGCCCAAGTTCTTTTTTTTAACACAGCAACTTTTTTTTGTGTTGCTGGTACTTTTATCTGCCTATCGTTATGTCTGTGTTGTCGATGCCTCGAGAGAAAAGGAAGTGCCGAGCGCGGAAGCACAAAGTGACCCGAGGCTTGCCGTAAAGCGGTATCTCTGGCCGTACGATGTGTATGACGTAATTGACATTTTAAAAAACTTTTCAAAGCAAATAATTCAATTCAATTCAATTCAATTTTATTTGTATAGCACCAATTCATAACAGAAGTTATCTCAGGACACTTTTCAAATAGAGCAGGTCTAGACCGAACTCTTTAACATTAATTACAGAGACCCAACAGTACCACCATGAGCAAGACCTTGGAGACAAGGGCAAGGAAACACTGCCTGTTAAAAGGCAGAAACCTAGGACAGATCCTCCGGCTCTAGGTGGGTGGTCGTCTGTCTCGACCAGTTGGGGTGAAAGAGAGAGAGAGCGAGAGAGAGAGAGAGAGAGAGAGAGAGAGAGAGAGAGACAGACAGACAGACAGACAGGTGCACAGCAACAACAGTATTGGCAATGGCAATCTAGCAGGACCATGGCAGGAGGCTCCACCAGGATCAATAAGAACCTGTGAGACGAGAAAGCACAAGAACTCCGGGGAAGAAGTGAAGTTAGTAACATGCATTAATGGAACATGAATGAGTGCAGAAAGAGAGAGGAAGAGAGGAGCTCAGTGCACCATGGGAAATCCCCCGATAGTCTAGGCCTATAGCAGCATAACTAAGGGATGGTTCAGGACTCACCTGATCCAGCCCTAACTATAAGCTTTATCAAAGAGGAATGTCTTAAGCCTACTCTTGAATGTGGTGAGGGTGTCTGCCTCCCGAACCACAACTGGAAGCTGGTTCCACAGGAGAGGAGCTTGGTAACTGAAGGCTCTGGCTCCTGTTCTACTTTTAGAGACTATAGGAACCACAAGTAGCCCAGCATTCAGAGAACGTAGTGTTCTAGTGGGGTAATAGGGTACTATGAGCTCTTTAAGATATGAAGGGGCCTGACCATGAAGAGCTTTATAGGTGAGGAGGAGGATTTTAAATTCTATTCTACATTTTACAGGGAGCCAATGCAGAGAAGCTAGTACAGGAGAGATGTGATCTCTTTTTCTAGTTCCTGTCAGTACTCGTGCTGCAGCGTTCTGAATTAATTGGAGCGTTTTAATGGACTTATTGGGGCAACCTGATAATAAAGAGTTGCAGTAATCCAGCCTTGAACTAACAAATGCATGGATTAGTTTTTCTGCATCTGTAAACTTATCTGCAATAAGTGACCCAGCAATGTGTAATTTCTTTGCGTCCCCTTTCGAATGCAACATTCAAATTACTAGACAAAAAATGATATCCTGAGAAAAGTGGATTTTGAGGGTATAGCTCCATAGAGCTCCAGTCATTCTGCACTCATCCTGTGAGCGCCCTCACATGGAACCAGAGGGGAACTGCAACAGTTCAGAACCCGGAAGTTTACCGAGAGTGGAAGTTCTCCTTATTAGACATTCTCTTTTTACAGCGTTCAGTGTTTGTCACTGTTGGCTGACGCCCAGGATGATGCAACAGGACGCTGACTGCAGTTCACTGAACGACCACTGGTGGCGCTGTTAGTTACAGTTTAATGAGCGGCCACTGGTGGCGCTGTTAGTTACAGTTTAATGAGCGGCCACTGGTGGCGCTGTTAGCTACAGTTTAATGAACGACCACTGGTGGCGCTGTTAGCTACAGTTTAATGAACGACCACTGGTGGCGCTGTTAGCTACAGTTTAATGAACGACCACTGGTGGCGCTGTTAGTTACAGTTTAATGAACGACCACTGGTGGCGCTGTTAGCTACAGTTTAATGAACGGCCACTGGTGGCGCTGTTAGTTACAGTTTAATGAACGACCACTGGTGGCGCTGTTAGCTACAGTTTAATGAGCGGCCACTGGTGGCGCTGTTAGCTACAGTTTAATGAACGACCACTGGTGGCGCTGTTAGCTACAGTTTAATGAACGACCACTGGTGGCGCTGTTAGCTACAGTTTAATGAACGACCACTGGTGGCGCTGTTAGCTACAGTTTAGTGATTAGTTACATCGAGAAGCTTTAAGGGGAATTATCTGATTTATCTCCAAATGCAGGAAACTGAAAGAAACCAGATTGAGCGCTTGTGTGTCAGATTTGGTGGTTTTGATGGATCTGAATGTGATTGATTGATGATTATATGATGATTGATATTCTAAATATAACTTGTTGAATCTGTTATTTCTTCGAGCACAGAAATGTTTGTTGTACAAAGAATAAGTGAGAATGTATTTCTGCAATAAATCTGCAATTTACCAGAGTAATAAAAACTTTCAGGTCTTTGAATTTTGTGTTGACACAACATGATTTTTCAACATTTAATGACAACCATACACAGAGGTTTTAAAAGAATACAATATATTCACATATTCAACATTAATGTTGAGATGGAAGACGTCAATCCAGTGACATGTGAACAATAACACAACAAGCCACGAGGCCCAATGTAAGCACCTTTACTGTCAATGTTCACATACTTTTCTCATAGAAAACCTTTTTCACAAAATGTACATGTAAAATTATATTTAAAAAGAGTGTATTAAAATGAATATGTTTGTTTTAGTAAAGCATCTCATTAAAAACATACTTTTATGTGTAAAATAATGTATTTAAAGTGTTCAAACAATGTTAGATACTGACAGAAAGTGTAAAAGTTTGTTTGTACTGTAGATTTAATTAATTTGACGAAATATGCTTTTCTTAACTAAAATATTTTAAATCTAGTTACCACTAGAATATTTGGCAAATTTGACCTATATTAAAAACAAACATTATCAGATACTACAGCAGAAATGGGATTACTTTGAGATGTGCTCCAGTCAAATTTTATTCATAAAACTCGAAATCATAAATCACAATTTGTCTCATTCAACCACGTCTGTCCTTACACCACAGTGATTATTATTTATTTTGTTTTAACTTTTCAGTTCAGTTTCCAGAGTGCTCCTTTCAGTTTATTTTTATTTTACTTTTTATTAGTACCAGTGTTAGTTTCTTATTGTAATATGGAGGTATTTATAGGTATTACAATACAAACACATTGACTCACAGTCAGTAAACATTTTCACCAGTGCCTCCTCATGATTGTTGTGTTGGTGAATTTGACCAAAGTGACAAAAACTATTTTCAATTTCAATTTTATTTGTATAGCACCAATTCATAACAGAAGTTATCTGAGGACACTTTTCAAATAGAGCAGATCTAGACCAAACTCCTTATAACATTACATTTTCTGTATATTTTTATTTAATTTTAGTCAGTTATGTAATCTTAGTTTTTGTAAGTACACAATATTGTTTCAGTTAGTTGTTTTTTCCCAGTGTCTATATTAAGTTATAATTTATTGAATTATAAATATCTCATTTAATTACAATTAAAATGTTTTTTTCCACACATGTAGTTTTTAGTTTAATATAATATAATATAATACAACATAAAATAAAATAAAATAAATTGTTGTTGTAGTTCCCGCTTCCAGCCGACAGAGTGCGCAGTCGCAGTAGGTTCTTTCTGTAGTCCACTTCCGTCAGTGGATTTAAACTTCCACCGGAAGTGTGCTCGTCCTCTTCTACCAGGCCGATCCAACATGGTGGGTACTTTTTACATGTCTACCTGAGCTATCTAAATTAATCCTGCTGTTTTAACGGTGTATAATCCGCCGTTGGTTCACCAGAGAGCACCGGAGGGTTCATTGTTCCCGTTAACGGCAGTATTAATGCCGGATGGTACAAACGGAAGGTTTTATTGGCAGTATTGTAGCGGAGCGGCTAACGGAGGAAGCTGCCGCCTTCAGGCTGAATGAGCCGCTGAGGTTGGATCAATAGAACGGGATCAATACATTAACCTCGTTATCGGTGGGATTCAATACCGGCTGTAAACGCGGTTCCACTGTTAGTTAGCTTCTAGCAATGCAGCTAACAGCGCTTCTCCCCGGTGGGTCGGTCCGAGTCACCGGTCCGAGTCACCGACCCGCAGCCGGTCCGAGTCTCCGACCCGCAGCCGGTCCGAGTCACCGACCCGCAGCCGGTCCGAGTCTCCGACCCGCAGCCGTTAAAGTCGTCCACCGGCCTCAGGGTGTTAATGAGCTCACTGTCTGTGGATCAATAAACTGATATAAATGTGAGCAGATGTTAATATCCGCCCCGAGGTCTCAGTGGTTCAATGAGTCTAACGGTTATATTAAAGCCTTTAGTCCATATCTCATTAATGTAAAGGTCAGTGTTTAACATCAGAGGATCTCTAGTCAACGATGGAAAATAATATTCATGTTTTATTGGTGTATAATCGAGGTACGAGTCCTCTGGAGGCCGCCGTGCCGCTGGCTCTGAATACCGACTCGTACATGTGGTTCCTGCTCAGACCTGCTACAGGAACCTCTGAGGACTTTGTGTATGAGCTGTGAGTGTTCAGATTCTGACGTTGTGGTTGGCGTGCTGCTTTCAGGGACGAGTCAGGACCAAGACGGTGAAAAAGGCCGCCAGGGTCATCATCGAGAAATACTACACCCGACTGGGCAGCGACTTCCACACCAACAAGAGGGTGTGCGAGGAGATCGCAATCATCCCCAGCAAGAAGCTCCGCAACAAGATCGCCGGGTGAGTTTGTGTACGCGAGTTCGGCGTCCGCCGCCCTGTATCGAAAGTGACCGTGGCGTCCTGTGGCCACGGTCATTGATAGTACAGGAAGATAAAACTGCGAGCCTTTCCCGTGTCTGAAGGATGATTGTTCCTCTCAGACCCTGGCGCTCTCACACAGCTACAGCACAGACTAATGTTATATTATAATGAAGTACAGGACGACTGCAGAGAACAACTTCAATCATCAATTAGTTTTATCCAGAAAATGTCCTCAGATGTTTTATTGTCCACAACACAGAAATATTCAGTTTCCTGTCGGAGGAATAAAGACACAGAAAATCTTCCTGTTTGTCTCAAACTCTGCAGTCTGAGCCTCAACTCTCTCTCTCTGTGTGATACATGTGTATACATTCAATAAGCAGGTAAAGTGACTGTTCTGCACTGATATCACATATTATATAAAGTTAAGGCCAAGAAGTTAAAAAAGAAACAGATTTCTCTCATTAAGTTGTTTGTCTACATTTGCAGCTGATAAATAAAAACACTTATTTGGTTTTGTAAACAGAATTTGCTGCGTCGCGTCCACCAAGCTGATCTGTTAATTTATGATCGGTAATAAAACAGAATAAAAGTGTCACATTACAGCCGCTGTTATGAAGCTCAGTACACTTCAGATTATCCTTCCACATTGACTGTGTGCAGGTCGCTCTGTGGTCGCTCTGTGGTCGCTCAGCTCAGGACGCAGTTTGAATCTCTCGTTTGTAAAGTGAAGATACGGCGATAACACAACTGGTGGAGTTGCACTTATCTAACCAGATAAATAAATAAAACATTGAACTGCGACTCCAAACGGACTGAACAGGATTCATTAATTAACAAACTTACATTTCTAGCCAACAATTCAGTGTCCGTGTCACTTCCTGTTCAACATTTAATAAATGTTTATTTATTGTTTGTTGTTGTTTATTTATTTATTGTTTGTCGCTACAGGTATGTGACACATCTGATGAAGAGGATCCAGAGGGGTCCGGTCAGAGGAATCTCCATCAAACTGCAGGAGGAGGAGAGAGAGAGGAGGGATAACTACGTACCAGAGGTCAGTGAACGCACCACCAGTCTCTGTCTGATCACTGAACGTAGAGGCTGGTTAAACTGGTTCTACTGGTGGCTGCTACTGGTCTGATTCCCAGTATGGAGCTGATGTACGTTCACTTTGGGTCCAGAGAAGCTGCTGGTTTTATTTTGTCGTATTGGTGTGGGACACTGGGAGTTAGTGACACGGGGGGGGGGAATTTAATCTCAGCACATTGAAAACAGACACATGATGTCAGACAGGTGTTTGATAGTCCGAATATATTAATGTCCTTAATAAAGGAGCTGCTGGGACACAGAACAGAAACTGAGCCATGTACGGGTTACTAAAGGAGGATAATGGAATTATTAGTTGCCGGTTCCAGTTGCTGGTTCCAGTTGCCGGTTCCAGTTGCTGGTTCCAGTTGCTGGTTCCAGGCAGCAGCCGACTGAGAGGATATTAATATTATTAAAGCTGTCAGCCCTTTATCCCAAACCAGAGATCGTCAGCGCCGTCGGTCTCACAGCTTTTACTCTTTTACTTCTTCAGTGTTTCCATCTCTTTATTATTATGAGTTTATGATGGGAGTGGTTGGTTGTGCTCGCTGTAGTTCAGAGATTCAGTTTATTAATGTGTGTTCTGATAATTATAGAATTATAATAATAATTATATATTATTATAATATCGTCCACTTTTTACTGTTTGGGGCATTTCAACCGTTTCAGGATGAAGAGTAAAGACTAAATGTTCTGTGATATAAACGTATTGAAACGGCCCGTCTGTATGTTGTGCTGCTGTTAGCGTCTGTTAGCATGTGTTAGCGTCCCCTGTATCGAAAGTGAGCGTGGCGTCCTGTGGCCGCGCTCATTGATAGTACAGGAACAGGAAGCTGAGAGCCTTTCCCGTGTTTGAAGGATGATCAGTTCCTATTGAACCCTGGCGCTCTCAGACAACCCCCCCCCCTTCATTAGGACTGTTTACTTTTGGAGCTTTATCATGGTAATAGTTAAAAGGAGGATAACAAACGTTTGTTTTTTACATCAGTGGTAGAATAGATGTTAAAGTTTGATACTGAATAAATGGAGTTTAGTTGTCAGCAGTCTCTGATAATCAGAATAAACATTAGACATCAGTCTCTGCCTGACTGTAAACTGACCACGCACCGACAGCTGGAGCTCAGAGAGCTGCACATAGATCTACTGATCTTACAGCTCTGGGAGCAGAGGATGTCTAACTTCTCTCTCTCCCTCCCCTCCCCCCCGTCTCTGTTTACCTGTGCAGGTATCCGCTCTGGACCAGGAGCTGATTGAAGTTGATCCCGACACCAAGGAGATGCTGAAGCTGCTGGTGAGTAAAAGTACTTTGTATTCTGAGGTACTCGAGTATTTGTACTGCGTTACATTAACTGTAATACTTTATAGTTGTTGATAATAATAATGCTGTTTATATGTTGGATAAAGAGTCAGAACTCGTACTGGCATACTGATAATACTGCAGAGTAAAGATCTGTAATCAATGTTCAATAGATAATAAAATACAGACTTTATAAACAGGTCTGATTGATGGAACATGGCACAGATTATTGTACACACACTGTATTATAGTGTGTGTGTGTGTGTGTGTGTGTGTGTATATAAAGTGTCTTTAGATCAACTGAAGGAAACTTCAGTCGTCTCTTTAATGTTCTCGGATCAAAAGGAAAAAGCAGCCAGAAACTCCCAGAATCCCTAGAGGCAGAGTGACTGTGAGGATGTTGGAACAATATAATGAGCAGTGATCAAAGTGCAGCGTGTTGATTGGTCCATCAGTGTGTGTGTGTGTGTGTGTGTGTGTGACACCCACAGCAGCACCCTGTATCGAAAGTGAGCGTGGCGTCCTGTGGCCGCGCTCATTGATAGTACAGGAACAGGAAGCTGAGAGCCTTTCCCGTGTTTGAAGGATGATCAGTTCCTATTGAACCCTGGCGCTCTCAGACACCCCCCCCCCATGATCTGCTCTCTTCAAACGGCGCTCTGCTGGCGTCGTCGTGTATTCAGACCCGTTCTCTTTCTCTCTCTGCTCCTCAGGACTTCGGCGGTCTGTCCAACCTGCAGGTGACCCAGCCCACCGTCGGCATGAACTTCAAGCAGCCCCGAGGAGTCTAGACGTCTGTAAAGTATCTTCTAATAAAACCCTCTGGGACAAAACCTCTGCTGTGCACGACTCACTTTATTCTCCACTGCTAACACTGACTCAGCATGTCTGAAGAAACCAGGACCAATATGAACCAATAATCCTTCCAATATATCCTGAAACTATCGGTTATCCTGGAACAGTGTTTCAGCCTCTCTGATCACGATGGTTGGTTAAATACTAACAGGGTTCTGTCTCTGAGTGTGCTCTTTATTTCTGTGTAAAATAACTAGAAGTGTTATTAAAGCTAAGATTATCAGTATTATTATTGATCGCAGTGTACAGTGAGAGCTTCAGTCTCTGATCAACAGCCTCATCCTGCATCAGAAAGCAATCAGCTGATAATCAATAAACAGTGAATCTGTCAGAAAGAAGAATATTAAGTCTGATTGTTGAAATGATAAAAATAGAGAATGGATCAATATATCCGATCAATATTCACAGGAAATGATCAAACTGCAGTTATTGAGTTCACTGTTATTGATATTAATTATAATTTAAATACAGTCAGTTCACTCACTGATGGAGAAGGTTGGGAACTATTGATCTGGAACATGTGACAATCTCTACAGTCCCTCACATTGTCTTCCTGATTGTCATACACCTTTTTGTCCTCTGGGGGCAGAATCACCCCAACTGGTTCCCCTGTTATTTAAACTGTCAGTCAGTTGTGTGTTACAGCTTTCGTCTTCAGTCCAACCCGTTCTACGTCTTTATTAGGGTTATGTCACAGTTCAGTGAGGATGCGGTGTTTGAATCTTTTTACTGGCAGCTCATTATGACACCCACAATTCAAATGATTGAAAACGTAATGATGAAGAGCATAGTATTGAACAAGCCGTTATTTTCAGACCATTTGATGAAAAAAAATATTTTGACAGCAAAACATTTTTTGGGGGCTGAAAATGACAACAGGAGAGTTAATAAAACTACATTTAGTCATTGAATCTTTCATTATATATATATATATATATATATATAATATATATATATATATATATATATATATATATATATATATATATATATATCTATATATCTCCTGACTGTACAACAGATTATAAGATCTGGTTCCTCTGGCGCCTCCTACTGGCTCCTGGCTCCATGCTAACAGACGCTAACGGTTCAACCTAAAGTGTCTTTATACCTTTATTGGCTCTGATAAGCCCCGCCCCCAACCACACACTAAAAGGGGCGGGGCTTTATGACTGATTACAGCCAGTAAAAGAAGGAGGAGTCGTTGGACAAAGGAAGATAAAACACCTTTAATGCAGCACAGACTGGACGGACAGGTTGACGGAGGATTTATTCCCACTAAAAGCTACTTTACATCATTTCAGACATTAATATTTAATTCTGTGTAAAATATACATAATGTTAAAATAAACTCTCGCTGTGCGTTCTGATTGGCTCATAAGCACTTCAGCAGGAAGAAGTTGCAGAAGGCTCCTCGAGGGCAGTCGCACATCTTCCCGATACGAGATCCTTTCCGGACAGCACAGTGCTCGCCGAGGTCACACTGCACACAGGAAGTACAGTTACACACACGCACACACACGCACAGTTATACACACACAGTTATACACACAAACACACACACACACACACACACACACACAGTTATACACACACACAGTTACACACACACACACACACACAGTTATACACACACACAGTTACACACACAAACACACACACACACACAGTTATACACACACAGTTATACACACGCACACACACAGTTATACACACACAGTTATACACACAAACACACACACACACACACACAGTTATACACAAACAGTCACACGCACGCACACACACACACAGTTACACACACACACACACAGTTATACACACACACACAGTTACACACACAAACACACACACACACAGTTATACACACACACACACAGTTACACACACACATATCAACGTTTAGTTGAAGTATTGTGAGTATAAAAAATACATTCTAATATAATACAGTGTCTGTTTAAGTAGAGGACTGTGTGTGTAATATTAGTATAATATATAAAGTATAAGATGTAAGATAAGATCGACTTTATTGATCCCACATTGGAGAATGTGGGCTTGTTAGAGCAGCTCCAGATACACACACATAATAATATTATTATTATTATTATTATTGACAGTGTATCAGTGTATAAATCAGAGCATTACATTAAATCATTAGCTGCATTAGTTCTTGTATTTGATGCTACTTAGATAGTAAACATGTGTTATACATTATAATTATTTATATTTAGTACCTTTACATTTAAAGTAAATGATATCAGATATGATGCAGGTACAACTTCAAACGTCGATGGATCAGTGATATTAATGTAGTAATAACGGATATAATGTACTGTAAAAATATATATAAGTATTCTTTGGGTGTGGTAAAGTGTCTCGACAGCGCCCCCTACAGAGCCGCAGCACGTTTCAGCTGTATGTTTGTTAAATCAGTAAAAACTTCATATCATCTCCAGACACACAAAAAAGTCTCCTGGAGCCATATCCCAGCCAGCAGGTGGCGCTGTGGGCCACGCCCCCTCACACCGTCACACTGCGTGCTACAGACACACTCTTGGACCACTAAAGTCGGACATTTTTTATATTTTTGACAAACATATTTTTGTTTCTTCAATCATCACAAAACTTTTAGAACAAAGTTGAACCACGTTTAAAACAATTTTAACATTTCTAACCGTCAGACGGACGTTTGTACCGATGTTTCTAACCAACGTTAGGAATTGTTAAAATGTGATATTTCTTAAAGGGAGTTTGGTGCAGGGAGCTTTTAGTTGGATTCAAACTGCTGATATGGATCATTGTTAACGTTTAGTCTCCACTACAGAAACACTAGCTGACTGCTGAAGGCTGATCAGGTTGATTAATGCTTTAATAATGGGAGTATTGATTACTGATGCTGGCTGATCAGGATCATTATCAGTTAATCTAACAGCAGTAAATAGTTGCCCTTCGTGTGCCTGTTTTTAAACATTTCTAATTAAACATGATAATGTGCTTGTTATTAACTCTGTTATTAACTCTGTTATTAACCTGTTATTAACTCTGTTATTAACTCTGTTATTAACTCTGTTATTAACTGTTATTAACTCTGTTATTAACTCTGTTATTAACTGTTATTAACTCTGTTATTAACTCTGTTATTAACTCTGTTATTAACTCTGTTTTTAACTGTTATTAACTCTGTTATTAACTCTGTTATTAACTATTATTAACTCTGTTATTAACTGTTATTAACTCTGTTATTAACTGTTATTAACTCTGTTATTAACTCTGTTTTTAACTGTTATTAACTCTGTTTTTAACTGTTATTAACTCTGTTATTAACTCTGTTATTAACTCTGTTATTAACTCTGTTATTAACTCTGTTATTAACTGTTATTAACTCTGTTATTAATTCTGTGTGTGTGTGTGTGTGTGTGTGTTACTGTGTGTGTGTGTGTGTGTGTGTGTGTGTGTGTGTGTGTGTGTGTGTGTGTGTGTGTGTGTGTGTGTGTGTGTGTGTGTGTGTGTTACTGTGTGTTTGTGTATGTGTGTGTGTGTGTGTGTGTGTGGGACTCACAGAGGGGACCTGTCCATATTTCTTCTCCCAGGGATTGATCCTCTTCGTCTGCAGTTTCTCCAGAACTTCATGCAGAGCGCCGAGCTGCACACACACACACACACACACACACACACACACACACACACATTAAGCTGACAGATGTTAATTGACAGATAATCAGCTATAATCACTGATATTTGGTATCTGCAGTGTAACTAAATACATTTACTCGAGTACTGTATGTGAGTACAGTACTGAGGAACATTAATGGATGAACTATAAACTATAATGAACAACCCAACATCACGTTCACAATGCGTCATAATAACCATCAAACAGACCTCAGAACAGCTCAGATAATCCTCATATAATTCACATTGATTACATGAAGTTACTAATATCATTCATATATAATCTATCAGTGTAATAAAGGAGGATCTATTGTTATTGATTCAGCAGTGAAACAGATTCATCCTAAACAAAGTGTTTTTAATATTCACACAGTGTTAAATGGTTACTGAACGTCAGATTGTTGGAGGATAAACTGAAGAAAACATAAAGACACATCATGAACTGATGGAGCTGATTTCATTTGGTTTTATTCTTTTTCTCCTTTTTGTCTAAAATGTAAATTATAAATGATATATTATTTTCTTGTTTGTTGTTTCATCTTTAAGTTCACAGACAGACAGTTCACAGACAGACAGACAGACAGTTCACAGACAGACAGTTCACAGACAGACAGACAGACAGTTCACAGACAGACAGACAGACAGACAGTTACTGAATCATCCACAGAGTTCAATTACAGCCAATAACTGATCACTCCATAAGAATAAAGATCTATTTTCTGAAAATGTGGTGACACAGAAAGACGCTGTGTGAAGGTTCATTTATTAAAAATCAATATCAATAATAAATAATAAATCAATATGTAAAACTGATCATGTTTTTGTGCTTATTTGAATTTAAGCTGTTTTTCAGTGTTATCAGTTATTGATTGTTATCAGAAAAGCACATTACTGGCTACTGGTTACATTACTTTTACATTACAGTAATATGTAACTAACAGTAAAGTTACAGTTAGTTACAGTAATAAGGAGGCACTGTGAGTAAAGAACTGTGAAAGTAATGGACCTCGTTATCGGTAATTACTGTAAATATACAGTCAAATATTAAGTGTAACATTAAAGTGATTATAATAATAATATAATAAATCATTTATATTATTCTTTTAGTTTTGGTACTTTTGATTTACTTGAATACTTTTGTATTTTTAGTGAAATAACATTTGAACGCAGTATTTGTACATCAGATAGAATCTCTGATCAATACGATCACTTAATGACTGATTATTAATAATCTCACAGTTTAATGTTAATGTAGATTTAAGATCAATAAACAGGATGAATATGGTTTAATTAAAGAGACATTAAT